CAAAGTGACTGCGCTGACGGAAGAGCAAAAAGTAGACGAACAATTGCGAGTGAAGCCGCAATGCACTGGGGGAGGAGGAGGAGGAACGCCCGGCGACGGCGGGAGGGAGGGAGAGGCCGGGCCCGCTCACAGCGGGGCCAGGCGGCGGCGGGGGGCGGCAGCTGCGGGGAGGGGCCCAGCGGCGGCGGGGCGGCAGCTGCGGGGTAGGCCAGCCCGGCGGCACCCGGAGGAACGCGTCCAGAGGGCAGCAGTGCCCAGCGCAGGCTGGAGACGAAGGTGAACGCGAGAAAGCAAACAGTCCGAGGGTGCCGAGGTCACAAGTGACCTGCGAGGCAACCCGGGGACGGCCAGCGGGAGCCACGTCAAGGGAGAGGGGCCCGCAGAGGGGAAGGCCGGGACACGAGGCGGCGCCTGGGGGGGAAGCAGAGCCCAGCGCAAGCCGCAGCCGAGAAGCACGCGAAAGCAGAGGCCGAAGGTGCCGGGGTCACAGGGTGGCCTACGAGGCAGCCCAGGGGCAGGCAGTGCGAGGCCACCTCGAAGGGGAGGGGTCGGCCCGAAGACCAGGCCAGGCGGGACAGGGCGAAGGGGGGCGCCGGCGGCAGGGCCAGCGGGGCCACGAGCCGGGCGGGGGAGGCGGCAGGACGCAGTCCGGCAGTGAGCCACAGCCCGGGAGGGACGCCAAAGAAGTGCGCCGAGAGGGCGTAGAGCACCCCGCAGGAGGCCAAGGGGGGCGCGTTGGCTCGAGCTGTCCCGCCGGCCAAGGCAGGCAGGCTGAAGCAGTGCCAGGGACGAGCAGAGCGAGGCGGGTCGCGGAGCCGGGTCCGCCCCCGGCGGGAGGGGGCGGAGAGGCTAAGGCACCGCCCAGGGCGGAGGCTGCGGGCGGTGCGGCCCGGCCCCCAGAGCCTGCAGAAGGCCAGCGCACCAGGGAGCCGAGGCCAACGTGAGGGCGGGGTAGGCGGCGAGAAAGCACACATAAGTACACCATGCTGGACCTCAGGCGTCTGATCTCCAGCACCTCATGTCCTGAGGATGTCTGAGCGACAGCTTCTCTTCTTAGAACCGACGTCGTAAACACAGGTCCGCCAGCATCCCGACGGCACGAGGACGGCTCGAGCGAGCCGCTCCCCCCCCACACCGTGTTGGAGATCCGACGCCCGATCGCCAACATTCCAACGTTCTGGGGATGCCTCAAGCGAAAGTGTCGTCGCAAAACAACTCCTCCAGCATCCCAATTTCGTGAGGATGTCTTACGCGAAATGCCCCGCACACCATGTTGGATATCTGGCGTCTGATCTCCAACGCCTCTTTCGCTCTGGATGCCTTGGACGAAAAGTCACTGTTGAAAACCAACGTCCTAAAACAATTCCTCCCGCCCCATGCTGTGAGGTTGTCCCAGGCGAAACGCTCCCCCCACACCATGTTGGATATCCGACGCCCCCGTGGACACGTGAAAACACGTGCCCCGCGCGCACGCTCCCCTCCGCGCACGTGTGTTCTCGCGTCAAGAACCCGACTCTCTTCCAAATTGGATACCCCCGGGGGGCCCGGCTGTCGCCAGGAACACGTGAGAACACATGCCGAACGCCTGCGCGACGAGACGCATGTTGGAGACCCCACCTTCCACACACGAAACCGTACGTGCTCAACTCCGACACCACCTGCTCGGCACCTTTCTTGCACAGGGCCCAGAAGCCCACACACACACACACACACACACACACACACACACACACACACACACACACACACACACACACGCCAAAAAAACCTAGCCCAAAACCCTTCCTGGTGAAAACGGATCCAGGACGAAGAACTGACTCCAGAGCAGGGGTCCGAACCTGTGGGGCCGCATACTGAAACATATATATATATATATATATGCATATATATATATATATATGCACATATCCTCGGATGTGTTTGGGGAGGTGGGAGTCTGGGCGAGAAAGAGCAGGGAGGGCAGAGAACGAGGACAAGAGGGGATATGTCGACCCCTATCCCAGGCTTCGTGGGGCTTTCGAATGGACCAAGAAAATGTGGGGCCCAACCCTGGGATATACGAGGGGGGAGCGTCCATCCTCGATAGGGGTGCGTCCGAATAGCCCCCTGAGGGTGTACCCCAGGGTTCTCCTCATTTTCTTAGCCGCTTCATTTTTCGTCGAGAAGTCGGGGGTTGGGATAGGGACAGAACCATCACCTGCGAAAGGAGGCGAGGGAGGACAAAAAAAAGCCTGCGCGCCAGCGATGCGTAGCAGGCAATAAGGCCTCACCGAACCCAGCCCGGTGGCAGGATGGATCCGGCATGGGCATCCGCCTCCTCCTCTTTCTCCTCTTTCTCCTCTTCCTCCTCCTCCTCCTCCTTCTCCTCCTCAGCGAACCTCCTCCTCCTCGTCCTCGATCCTCCTTCCTCCTCCTCCTCCTCCTCCTCCTCCTCCTCCTCCTCCTCCTCCTCCTCCTCCTCCTCCTCCTCCTCTGGCAGGAGGGACCCTGCAGAGGGAGGCGCGGCAACGGCAAGAAGGATAGCCGCACCCGCCAGAGCTGCCGGAGTCCTGCCAGGGGATCTCACGGGGGGCCGTGGGCTGCGGATATATGTGTCCCGCCCCTCGAGGGCGGCCACAGGTGTCTACGTCACTCCGCTTCTCGAGAGGTCCTCGGGCTCCCAGGGACACGACTCCGAGGCGGTTGACACGAGTTCACAAGTATACATCGGAATTGTTGTGTACATATCTAGATGTATACATACATGTATATATGGTGAGGGCATTGGATAAGGAACCATTGGATAAGGACTCCAGGGTCTGGAAGCTGGTGGAATACCGATCGTGGATTGGCCATGGATATCACTGCCGACCTCATCAGACAAGGAATCCTCCAGGGTCTGAAGCCCCCATGGGCACATTCCTTAACGAACGCCCCCACCGCAGGTGCATGCAAGACCTTGCCAATATGTAGTTCGTTCGCAATTGGCACCTCCAGCTGCCGACCGCGCATGCGGCTCCTCTGCGCCGCCGACTGAAAATTGTTGCCAATGTGTGTGTGTGTGTGTGTGTGTTTGTTTGTTTGCATGTGCATGTGTAGATGTACACTCTGGCGGTGGAGGTGCGGCGAAGGCAAAGGTGAGGGGAACCGTTAGAGGGGAATTGGGTCAAGGGGGGAACATCAAGCTTGAATCGTCGATACATATCTATACATAGATATATCGCCGATAGATCGGCTTGAGGTCCCCGATAGCGGATCCGCCCTCTCCCGGGCGGGTTGGGCTATCGGGCCTCTATCGGCAATGAATGGTCGATTGGGAGTCGATGCATCCCCTCCTGAGCCTTCAGTTGGGAACTTTGGGTTAGCGTGTCGCGACGGCGGCCCCGGCGACACGCTATGCCCTGCGAGCGGATAGCGTGTCGCTCCGCTCTGCGGGGCGGGGGGTCGACGCCTCGAGACTGGGTTGTGGTCAGCGTGTCGCGCGGATGCGCGGCGAACCAGAAGCGGCGGCGCGACACGCTAACCCAAAGCTCCCGACCTATCCCCCCCTAACGTTTCCAGGAGGAGGAGGAGGAGGAGGAGGAGGAGGAGGGGGAGGGGGAGGAGGAGGAGGAGGAGGAGGAGGAGGAGGAGGAGGAGGAGGAGGAGGAGGAGGAGGAGCCTGAAAGGGAGAGCGCGTAGAGGCTCAACTGCCGCGCTGCCCGCAGCACGCAGCACGTGGGGCGTTGCCGCGGAGCTCAACGCGCAGACTGAAAACGAGGGCCTGGCGCGATGCGTTCGCCAAAACGCGGGCCAACACGTGCCGAGCCGACGCGAATCGTGCTGGCCCCGACGTCGGGAGCACGGCACGTGCCGTGTGTTCAAGACGGGCGCGCCGGGGCAGCGAGGCCCCCGAACGTCGCCACTGACAAGGGGAAGCACCTCGAGGGCGGGGAAGCCACACGACCGTGGCCCAGGCTCGGCGTGGCCGGCAGAAAGCCCAGCAAAGAGGAGGAGGAGGAGGAGGAGGAGGAGGAGGAGAAGAAGAGGGAGGGGGAGGGGGAGGGGAAGGAGGAGGGGGAGGGAGAATGGGGCGGGTGCGCGCATCCCCTTGCCCGCCCCGCCGCGCCTGCACGAGCGCGCCGCAGCTTGCGAGGGCCGCGAGCAGCGGGCGACCCATCGTGGAACGCCACAACATGTGAGAATAAGATTTTGTGCTGTGCGAGCAGTATGATATGCACTCGACGCAGAACGGCCGCGAGCCCTCTCCCGTCCTCCGCAATCACGCTCCCGCTTCCCCGTGCCGCGTCCACGTCGCCGCCTCTGCAGGGACTCTGGCCCGCTTCACTTCACGCGCTGACGGCCAGGCACCTTTTCTCGGCCCTCTCCCCACGTAGCTCCGCGTCGGTCCCTCCCTGTAGCCCTCTGGTGCTGCCTGTTCCACGCTTCCCTGCCCCCATTCATGCCTCTCCCACTCATCTTCTTCCTCCTCCTCCTCCTCCTCCTCCTCCTCTCCTCCTCCTCCTCCTCATCATCATCATCATCATCATCAGCATCATCATCATCATCATCATCAGCATCATCATCATCATCAGCATCATCATCATCACCATCAGCATCATCATCATCATCAGCAGCATCATCATCTTCATCATCATGATCCTCCGATCATCATCATCCTCATAATCATCAGGATCATCATGATCATCATCATCATCATCACCATCATCATCATCAACAACAACATCTCACCATCATCATCATCAGCAGCATCATCATCATCATCATCACCATCATCGTTGTCATCACCCCCGTCCTCATCCCCCTCCTCATCCCCATCCGCATCCGCATCCTCATCCTCATCCTCACCATCATCCTCATCCTCATCATCATAGACACCATAATCGTCACCATTATCGTCATCGTCCGGCTGCCTCGTCCGTGAACCGCCTACCTGGTTTGGCCGATCTTGCACGTTCTTCGTGCGGCTTCGATCAACATGCCCCAGCCCTCACCTTTCAGACTGTCCGCCCAGCCACACCTCACAGCCCGATTGGGTCTTCATGCGACTCTTTTCCCGCCACCCATCGCAGACTGGCGCTGACCTCCGAGTCGATGGTCCAGCTCTTCATCCCCGTGCCCCCCACGGTGCCCACCTGGATCGCGCGGCATCGCTCCCCATTCCGCACCGTGGCCAGCCAAGGCCGCATGCCCCATAAAGCGCAAGCAAATGGGGCTGACGCGTGACGCAAGCATGTGCCCGGCTTCCAAGCCCACACAGCAAGGCACCCCAACTCTGACAAAACTGCCGACGCTGGACTTTGGAGAAAGCCAGAGAGGCAATGTAGAACTTGCGCTCGAAACGCCACAAGATTCATCCGTCAACAAGCAGCGACTGAAGGTGACACGTGCGCGAGTGACTCCACCAGAAGCTTGACCAGGAAAAATGAGATGCGAAACTAGACACGTAGCGCGGCATGGGCCGCAGATTGATACTGAGGATCGCCAGGCCAACATCGATAGCCGTGATAATGCTCGATCCAACATGACAGAGGCGAGCGCGTGGAAGATGGTGTTCGCTATGCCACTATCTTGGCGAGTTCGATGGCCACCAACCTAGACAAGGCAAGCCTCTGACTTTTATAGAAGGCGGTAGTGACCATTCTGGCGGCGATGTCTCAGGGGACACGGTCGAGTGCCCAAACCCGTCGTGCGGATGCGTCCACGGCTGTGTCCCTCTGAAACAAAACTCCGCCCGTTCAGCATGCCATGACCAGCAAATTGCATATTTCTGCTGCCCTTCGAAATTTGAGCAAACATCGATCTCTCCAATGTCTGAAACTGTTGTTTAGTGTGTCGCGGCGGCGACCCTAGCGACACGCCATGCCGTGTAAGCTGATAGCGTGCCGCTCCGCTTCGAGAAGCGGGAAGCTGGGAAAAGCTGGGGACGCTGACGCACGGGGACGGGCATGTGGGTAGCGCGTCGCGCCGAAGCGCCTCCTCCGCCTCTTCCTCCATTCCTTTGCCTTGTAAATGAAATCCCCCTGTCGCACCCCGAGGCCAATGTTTAGAGCGGGCCGGGCGTTTCGCCTGAGACTTCCTCACCAGTTACCACTCTGAAGCTTAAACCATGGCAACAGCTTCACAGATGGAGGGCGGGCCGTTTTCAAAAGGTGGCTCTCGCCTTAGCGCCGCGCACACTCATCTTAAAAAGTTGCAAGAATTTTGCGGATGAAGCTGGGTCGTTTTCAAAAGGTGCCGCGCACATTCATTTAAACATTTCCAAGAACTTCACGGATTGAGGGCGGGTTGTTTTCAAAATGTGGCTCTCGCCTTAGCGCCGCGCACATTCGCTTTCAAAATTTGCAAAAGTTCCACGGACTGAAGGCGGGTCGTTTCCAAAAATGTGGCTATCGCCTTAGCGCCGCGCGCATTCATTGTGAAAATTTGCAGGAGTTTCACAGGTCGAAAGCGGGTCGTTTTCAAAATGTGGCTCTCGCCTCAGCGCCGCGCACATTCGTTTAAAACTCTGCAAGAGTTTCACTGATTGAGGGCGGGTTGTTTTCAAAATGTGGCTCTCGCCTTAGCGCAGCGCACATTCGCTTCCAAAATTCGCAAGACCTTCACGGATTGAGGGCGGGTTCTTTTCAACATGTGGCTCTCGCCTCAGCGACGCGCACAATTTTTGTTTAAAATGCAAGAGTTCCACGGATCCCGCTGATCAACGTACCAGAAATTGCGTTTCGGAAGGACTCTGGATTCTGCGGGTGCAGCAGTTATGTTGGCTCGCGGCGTTGAAGTCCCAAAAAATGCGTTATGGTACGATTCCAGATCGTCAGGACGCAGCAATCAGGTTGATCCGTGGCGTAGAAATCCCGAGAACAATGTCTTGGCATGCGTCAAGGTCTTCAAACCGTTGTCTTCCAACGAAGCAGCTCCCAAAATGGAAATGAACCGTTGTAGGGGCCTGTGAAGAGGGAACTTGGATGGAGGGTTAATTCCAACATCGTTGATGACTCTTGGGTTTACACTGGTCCTCCTCCTCCTCCTCATCCTCCTCCTCCGCGTCCATCTTTCTCCACATCTGGAGTGGCGGACGCATGCAGACGGTGGCACTCGGGCCTTCGGTTGAGCCCCCTATGGGGCCACGAAGCGTATGAGGGGTGTGCCGGCATGGGCGTGGGGGGCGTATGCGGGCGGCGGCACTGGGGCCTTCGGTGGAGCACCCTATTGGGCCACGGGATGTGTGAAGGGTGTGCCGAAATGGGCGTGGCGGACGCAAGCGGGCGGTGGCACGGCACTGGAGCCTTTGGTGGAGCTCCCTCTGGGGCCACGAAACGTGTGAGAGGTGCGCCGGAATGGGTGTGGCGGACGCATGCGGGCGGTGGCAGCCCCCATCTGGGGCCACGAAACGTGTGAGGGGCGTGCCGGAATGGGCAAGGCGGACGCATGCCGGCTGTAGCACTGGGGCCTTGGGGTTGGAGAAAAAATCAAGCAACCAAAACAAAAATTGATCCCCCCCCCCGGAGCGCGCGCGCGCGC